TACATCCAATTCCAAATTCTTTCTCTAAATCTCTAAATTTTTCGCATTTCATAAATTTACTTCATGTTTGATTTTTTAAAATAATTTTTCTTAGTATTGAAAATAATCATTTCCAACTCATTCCATTAATTTTAATATTCCCATTTATAGTTTTTTATATTAAGTAAAGTTAGCAAAATTTGAAAATTTAATGTAATAATAGTTCTAAGTTAGTTTATAGATGTTTTTTCTTTAAAATTATTAATAATTTCATTTAGTTTAATAAATTTAAATATTTTAAAATTATTATTTATTCATGGTGAATTCGGAATCAAAAATTTTAATTATTTTTTTAAAAAAATTTGCGTATGCGAACGATCGAACCGTAATTTTGAACCGCAGTTCGCTCGGAACCGTGCTGAACCGTGGCCGGAACGCAGAACCGGAGGTTCAAGGTCGGTTTTCCGGTTCAAAAATTTTAAACATCTCGAACCGGCGGTTCAGTGAACCGGAAACCGGCGGTTCACCTGAACCGGCCATGCCTACCTCCCTGGTTTAAAAAAAAATGGTACACCTACATTGGGCTCTTCAAAAGCCTGCATTTTGGAACGTAGGCTTTTTTCTGGTGATAATGAAATTTTCAATTATAGGACTTTTCCAACATTTTAATTTCACAAAGTGGAAATGGTTTTAGACAGTACAGGAAAAAAAAAAAAAAAAAAAAACATTTAGAGATGGGCAACAGGGCCAGGGTAATCCCCGTAGGGAGATGACAAATGTTATGCCTAAAAAGCAAGTTATCATTAAACTATCCATTGAATAATTTAAATGTTTATTTTTGGCAGCGCTAAAGATTTTAATTTAAATCTAATTCCTAAATTTAAATCAACAAATAAAAAAAATTTTTTAGAAAAAAAAAAAAAAAAAAAAGAGTCACTCACCATTACTTGCAAGTGAGCCACATAAGCTAGAAAGAAAACTCTAATGGCACACCCACCCATGTAATAGCAGCAATATTGACATAAGCCACAAGTACCTCGTTGTTCTACAGCACCAACAGCAATTCCTGAAAAATAAAATTTCATAAAATCCTTTTAACACTGAAATATATATATATAATATATAATATAATATTATAATATATGTAAAGGAGAGCAAGTATACTTACGAGGATGTTATAGCTATCGAATTCTGGTCATAGAATGACGGGAGACTGAGAGTAGTAAATTGCTACGTATATAAAATAAATTATATACATATAGAGTATAAGATGTTATATATATATATATATATATATAAATCATACATGAAAGTACTGTCTGGACACTGTTTAGCAGAACAGAGAAAGCAAGTAGAACAGAGAGGCTTGAAACAGTTTCTGAAACTTCCTCTTCACTAGTAAATAAGTAAGCAATTTGACGGCCAAATACCAAACACAGAATCCAAAAGAATATTCCAATGGACATTGAAGTGCTCGATGTGACTTTCATGGAAAATTTTGCAGCTTTAGCATATCCTCTTCCCAATTCATTTGTTATATTATACTATTATGTTCAATTTTTTTTTCAGGTTAAATGTAAATTAAAAAAAAAAAAAAAGTAGTTACTTAAATTTGATAATTAATTAAGGTATCTAAAGCTTATTTTTACCTTATTGCTGCCAAGAAGCCAAGACATAGCATAAAATCCCAACCTGTGACATTGAGGCTGTAACGAAAAAAGATGCATATATTTTGTGAATGTTTCAAAAATTTTTGGAATATAAAATTATTTGAACAAATATAAATTAATTAACATGTAATTAACCCTTTTTAGTTGTTATGGCTATATTTTTTTTGGCATGTAATCTTACCAAATGGAGAAGATAGATATTCAGTTGTGGCATTCTTCATGTATCCTGCTAATAGGATTAAGGCAGCATTGTACCATAACTCCAAGCTAAAGGGAAAAAAACAAATATCAAAGAGACTAGTTACAATTCCATAAAAATTAAAAAAATTGAAGTTAGAAATGTTGTTAAAATGAAAGTATTTGTAGAATAGTGATTAGTAACTCAATGCTTGAGTGTCTATTTTATAATACGAGAAACTTATATCTCCATGAGTAGGAATGACGACGAGTCGGGTATCTATTTAAAATGAATTATTCAAACCTGAATCTGATTATAAATTAGGTATCCGAATCCGTCCCAAATTCGATTATAATTATCTATTTAAAAACTCAAACTCGTTTAAATAAGCATTTAGCATTAAAAATATATTTTTTAATTTTTTTTAAAATGAAAAGCAAGTAAAAATTATAAAATTATTTATTTTGACTTAATAAAAAATATAATATAAATATTAAACATAATTATAGCATTAGTTATAATTAAAAAAGTGTATATATATAATTTTTTATTTTAAAAAATAATTATTTTAAATGTTTATTAAATGGGTGCGGGTAGCGGTTATCCGCATCTTGAACCCGAACTCAGATCCGCATCTTGAACCCGAACTCAGTACATGTAGTAAAAATACTACCTAACTCAATACGGGTAGCGGTTATCCGCATCTTGAACCCGAACTCAGTACATGTAGTAAAAATACTACCTAACTCAATACGGGTAGCGGTTATCCGCATCTTGAACCCGAACTCAGTACATCTTGAACCCATCTCAAATCTATTTATTTAATATCCAAATCCGCTAAAATAAGATCGGATATCTGAGAGATCGGGTTAAATTGTCATCCCTATTCATGAGTTGGGTTTAAACTTAAGAAATACTAGCTTTACAAAACCTTACCCACGTAATTTGTAATTTTATACAAACTCGAAACCAACTAACAAATATAGCAGGAAGTTAGGGGTTCACTTATTTTTTTTAATCCCCCTTTTAAAAACTTTCAATCTAAAAAAAAGAAATGATGTGAGAAACTAATGTGAACTTACCAAAGCATGAAACCTGAGGAAATTGACAACTTTAAAACAGGAAACAAATTAGAGAATGCAATAAAAGTGAATCCCTTCCAAGTATCACTACACCAACCTCCTAAAACAAACACAAACTCTCCAATCAAAATCAACCAAGTTGATGCAACCATTGCACACATTGCACCAGCAACTCCCAATCTCAATATGCTCACAAAAATCCAAGATAAGAACAAATGAAGCAAAAATGAGATAGCAGAAACCCATCCAATTGTAGAGTTCTTTAGCTGTGCTTGCAAGTATTTTTGTATAGGTGTATGAAATCCCAAAAAATAGATAATTGGAATAAACCAGAGTGAAATATATCCACCAACTTTAGCTATATCTTCTTCTTCACCAAGTAGCTTGAAAATTCATTCTAAGAAGGTAAAGACAGGAAGGATTACAGTTGAAGTGCCAAGATTGATAATCAATGATCTTTGCAAGTAGATACCCAACATGTTATATTGTTTTGCTCCACATGCCTGTCCACAGAGAGTGTCGGTTGCATTAGACATACCTAGCTACAAATTTTCATGAAAATTAATTTATAATAAAAATCATTGCACAAACAGAAGAGAAGGTCTTATTATATATGTGCTTAACAGATGGTTAATGCTCCTAGTTCCCATTGATGTTCCTTATATATCATATTAACAATCAAAAGATGGTCAAAACAAACTATGGCCGCATTCGGTAAAATAGCGTTTGAACTAGATTTTAGAGATTAAGATAGCGTTTTATAAAATGCTAACCATGTAACTTTTAGCTTTTGGATCTATTCAGCAAAATTTAGTTGTTTTGATAGGTGTTACTATTGGAGTAGCTTTACACGGGTAACTTTTTATAAAATACTACTTTAACCTTTAAAAGTTAATTTAAACGCTATATTACCGAACACTATAAAAAAATAGCGTTTAGTGTTTCGACCAATCAAAATGCTAAAAGCTACTTAAAAAATTATTGCCGAATACAATCTTTAGCATTTTATATGAAAAGTCACAATTAAAACAGTTAATTTTTACCAATATTCCATGTGCAAATCTTAAGCCATTAATTTGTATTATTGCATAAGCTGCGAGTTCTACTGTCCCAATATGACCAATATATGCCTGTGTTACCACATACATGCCAAATAGTGTAACTCTCGATAAGATGGCAGGAAATGCAATTTTCCACATCTTCTTTGATTCTTCAAAAAACCTCCACCTCAAATCACTAATGTCTTTTGCTTCTGATGCAAGAAGCTTTTGTTCCATTTCTTTGTTTCTAGTTCTTGATCTTCAAAGACCAATGGATAATATACCTAGGTGGACTTGCGTTTAAATTAAATCTAATCATATTATTTGATTGGTTAAGATTGCATAGCATAGCTTGACGTGACAGGAGTATACAGAAATTTCCATTTTTTTTATTTAATCAGAGTTTAATTCATCACCACCGGCCTGCAAATGATTAAATAATTATTTTATCGTGGTTCACATGGTTTTACTTTTTCTTCGTGCTTTTTATATATAATCACAATTTTAGTTATATTTTATTTTTTTTGTTAAAATTATTTATTCTTTTTGTAAAAGCCAAATTTGAAAGTGTTTTTTATTTGATATCAAAGTCTTTTTTAACCTATTTTTTCAAATTTATTTAATAAATATATTTAAAATATTATATATAAAAATCCAATTGAACTGTATTAAACCCAGTCGAACCCTCCGGTTTAGTGAACCCTTATCTTCACCCGTTCATTGAGGTTCGATTCTCAGAATACTGATATTTATCGAGAAAATATCATCAAAAACACCAACTAAATTCAAGTCATTAAAAATTAAAATTATTTAAAAATATACAATGAAATTTTATAGGTGTTTTGTAGCTAAATAGTGATAAAATATTTTTTGTTGCAAATATGTCGGTAATTTATGCTCAAAAAATTGCCGTCATTATTTAACGATAATTTACCGACAAAATTAGTGAGAAAATTTTTTTTCTTAAATTTTCTACAATATTTTGTCAGTATTTTTATATCGTCAAATAGCAACAAAAGTTTTTGTCGGTAATTTTGGGATGAAAATAAATTTAGGGTAAATTACATCGTGCCAATTTCCTATCTCCCCTCCTTTTTCCTTGTCCCTGATTTTCCCAAGCTACAACCCAGACGAAGAAGTGTTGTTCTTCCTCCCAATCGCGCTGGTAACTCATTCTCTCCTTCTTCAACAACGCGTCAGAGTCTCCTTCACGTTCTCGCTCTCGCTTCCCTTCTCCAGCTCTATCCCAAGCTCCAAAGGACAGGTAACTTTCTTACTCTTTTGTTACTCTTCTATTATGGCTTAGTCTTAGTTTAATTTTAGCTAAGTTATATTTTTTCCTTCTGTTATGTTTAGACTTAGTTTAGTTTGATAATCCTTCTTTAATTTGTTTCTTTAACGAATCCTTTTTTTTTTTCCCTTCCTACAATTCCAATGTCAATATATCATCTTTCAATTTTAATTTTGTCAATCAATTTTATCAGATGACGAAAGATGATTTGAATTTCACCAGACTAATTTAAGAATGATTTGAATTTCATCAAAATGAGCATTGGCATTTTCATCAGTAGCAAATATATTCTCAAGTTGAGGCTATCTCTATTGTTGATGATGTTGTTGCTTCTAATGTGTTAGCATGGCGGGTTACATCTAATATACTATTTTCTATCAAATCCACTTATTTTATAGCAAAGATATTGTTGGTTCTATAGTTGATGGAAAACGACGAGTACTCACTTTTATTTGGTTGCTACAACTTGATAAACTGATGACAAACTTGGAACGATGTCACGGTGCTTCAATGTGGATTCTGGTTTTGGTTTATGTGGCGCTTTTGTGGAATCTACTGAACATGTTTTTCAAGACTGTTATTATGCTAATTAAGCAGATTTGGCTTAGAATTCTGGATGAGAACTTCTACATAAAATTTGCTAGTTGTGTTAGTTATATGCCGTGTAGCCAACTTATTGATTATATTTTAGATATAATATTTCATGTAATAAAATATTTAAAATTATTAATAAAAAAACATTTATTTATCTTTTATATTCTACTGAAGAATCTAGGTAAAAAATAAAGTCCATGATACAATATTATTTTTGCGAAATAAATTATAATGTTGTTATAATTATGAGTTTTATTTTGCATTAAAACAATATCTCTAAATATTTCTGGTCAATATTTTCCTCATTAATGAATGATGATTAGAGTTGTTGAGACTGATACATATTATGTTCTTTCCTTTGTGAAGAGCATCAACTGTTCTTATAAGCTGAGATATATTTGATATCTAAAACTGATATGTATGTGCTTATTATTTGAACAAATCCAATGAATTGACCTGCACGAGAATTCCATATGGAGAGTTACTATGAAATACTCGACTAATGGTTGTGTAAGTGATCCTTTGATTTGAAATTACTAACCTATCTTGTATGGGGATAATGATATTTTGATTCTTTATTCACATTATTCATCCATAGATAATAAGCAATGATTAATTAGACATAGTAGGAACATATTTTGATTCTTTATTCACATTATTCATCCATAGATAATAAGCAATGATTAATTAGACATAGTAGGAACTATATGGAGATACTTGTGTAATTAAGAGAGGATTCATCACTCTAGGCAAATTAGAAAAAATGTTCTAATTGTTCTCTATTCTTATTGATTAAGAGATCCTTGCGCAAAGCAGAATAAAATTAGAAAATTAGATTTGGAATTTTATTCAAGTGATTAATGGCTAAAATTAAGAGAACTAACAAGATTTAGTAAAGTAGAAACACTCCATGCCTAATTACTAAATCAGAACATTAATAATAAAGAGATATTAATTACACTGATAAATCATGCACTTAAAGGTTAAGTCAAACCACATTGACCTCAAAATATTTGGATAGTCACGACATGTTGCTAGATAATGTTCTTAACCTTTAAATACTAATTAGTTAATTTAATTTATATTTATTATCAACTTATTTGGAACCTAATAAGTCACACAGATAAGAACAGATATAAGAAATCAAATCAAGTATGACTTGTTTATAAATAAGTTTTGGGGTTTTGAGGGCAATATATTTAATTGCAATTTTACCTAAATTATTAGGTGTCTAAAATTTATTAAGATAAATTTTAGATTAAATAAACCTAATATTTTAATTATGATTTGTTTATTTAAATAGTTAAATAAATAAAATATAATTGATTAAATTGAAACTCCTATTACTGTATGTATTATGATTTATTTATTTAAATTGTTTAAATAAATAAATATGCACATATATATTTAAGTTATAATTTATTTATTTAAAAGGTTTAAATAAATAATTAAAATTTATTTCTTTATGACTTAGGGTTTTCATATATATAGTTAATAGACAGTTTAAAAACTAATTTTGTTGTTCATAGCCACAAAATAAAACATGGAGCATAAAATAGCTGCTCTATACGTGAACACTCACTTAAGGAGTGCTATTGTTTTTCTCAAACAGCAGCCCACTTTTTTGTTATCCCTTTCTTTTGATAACTGCCTGCGGAATTTGACTAGCTTTCTATGTTATTCTCTCAACTATTTAAAGTAGTTTTAAATTTTTTTCAATTTTCTGTTTGTGTGAATACTACTAGAGACCAAACTATTGGACAACTTGTGGTTTACAACAACCTAGCCGTGTAAATTAAATTTCGAAAAATAATCAGCAAAAGATGTATTCTATTGCTTTAATCATTTAAACGGATTTCTGTTGGAATAATTATTTTGCTATAATTATTTTATTCCACTGCATATTATTGATATTGAAACCCAACAAGTTGGCATTTGTATAATTGGATAAAGCTTGGTAATTCCTTGACTTAAGTTGCTTTCCAAATTCATCTCTTTTGCAGATTATGTGGCTCACTCTATGGTGGAATTGGAAATGAAGGAATGATCATGTTTTTAATGGTAAACTTTATTTTCTTCCCTCTTGTTTCTACCAGATCAAGTTTCAGATTGAGTCGAAACATTTTTCTTCGAAGCAACGACTTTCTGGAGATAGTTCTTTGATTAAACAAGTGGTGTCAGTTGTTTGGCCTGTTCCTGAGTTGGATGGATTAAGCTGAATATTGATGATGCTTCGTAAGGGATCCTAGAAGAGGCGGTGGTGGCGGCGTGTTTCGTGATCACATCGGTAGATGGCAAGGTGGATTTCTTGTTCATTTGAGCATCTGCAATCGTGGAGGCTGAGATGCATGCTTTGCTTCATGGATTGTTGTTGCATAGGAGTTTGTCTATTGTCCGCTAATAGTTGAAGTGGACTCCTTGGTATCGATGTAGCTTCTTTCTTCTATATAGCTCCTTGTACCATGGCTGGGTCTTCCTTACGGTCTTTTCCTGCCTACTCTTGATTTTCAATATCAGCAGCTCTTGCACCGAGATAGGAGGGTTAAAATCCAACATTGTTATAAAAAGACTAATGAAGTTGCAGATTTTCTTTCAAACTTGGTTGTAGATTCTGCCTTAGGTCCACATTTTTTGGTTCAGCTTCCTTCTCAGTTAACTTAGGTGTTGAATTGGCATAGTTAAGGTGTGGCTTGGCCTTGTGTTTTAAGGCGGTAGTGGTCTATTTTTATGTCTTGCTTTCAGGTTGACCCTCTCTTTGTATCCAAAAAATACAAATATTGAAGTACATATAAAGTAATTCTATAAAAATAAAATAGAAAAATTTCAAATTTTTGTATGGAGGTTTTGGTTCTTTTAAGGGAACGATCAATGAATCTGCTAACTGTAGCTTGAATGAAATTGAGAGCGTACTCGGTGTGTGTGTAGTACACCAATTGAAAAATTAAATGTTCTTAATCTGACTTCTAAACTGTGGATTAGATCAATGAATATATATGTTTTACTAGCTAACAATGTATTGGGAAAATCGCTATTTTCCCGCCCTTCGGATCGACTTCAAGCAGGAACAAATGAGAAAATAAAATAATGACTGAGAAATTAAAAAAAACACGATAGTTTAACGTGGAAAACTCTCCAAGTGGAGAGTTGGAAAACTTCTCCAAAGTGGAGAAAAACACGGCCGTTGCCCAAACGACAACCAAGAAAAATATTCACTATGTGAAGAAAAATATTCACTATGTGGCAAATTGTTACAACCACAATTACAAAATATTTTTCTACCCGACACCCTCAAAACACTCCAAATATTTTATACTCCAGGGGACTCCAAAAGACTTATTTTAAATCCCTAATATAAAACACATTCAAGTGTTTTTGGTGTGTTTAGAAACCTAAACATTGGCTTCCTCCAAACCACCATCCCCCATAAGCTCTTCTCCCCGATGTGGGATTGAGCAAAAATTTTTTTTTTATTTGTTTTCAACAAAGGCGGCTAACACAATGAAAACAAAATTGAGTAAAGAAAATTATAAAGAGAGCTTTATTTACTTGAAACGTAAATGAAATTTAAAGAGGATTTTATTGCTTATGTTGAAATAAAACTACAATTACAGAAAATGCAAATAAATAGTGCTTAGGAAAAATAAAAACAAAACTTTGGAGAATTTGATTTATTTGGTTGAATTAATCGATAATTCAACTAGCTTTCTATGTTGTTCTCTTGCTCTTTTATGTTTATAATAGGAGGAGGAGAAAAATACTTCCTATGTTAAATGATCAAACCTAAAGAAAAATAATTTGAGATTTTTGTTTACTAAATTTGAGAGAGAGCGAGAGAAAAAAAATAGTGTATGGAGTAATCTTTTTTAGCAAAAACACTATTGTTTCAAACTGCCCCGTGCTTACTGTTTATCTAATTGAGCAAGTATGTAGGAGAGAGAAAGTGGAGACAGAATGCAGGTAAGAAATTTAAAAATTAATTTACAATCAGTGCCACATCATCATAAAACCAACTCTTCATCGAAAAATTGGTAAATGACACTTTTATTCTACTGAAATAATAATTGAAGGATTTTGAAGTGATAAATCGAAGTCCGGAGACGATAAAGTGAGGAGGCCATAGTTCAAGGCACGGGGTAAAAATGTAAACATGTAATCATATATTTTGAAAAAATGAAATGTTTAGTGTATTTAATTAAAATTGAGATACTAAATAGTAATTATTTGTTTTTCTTAAAAAGAAGATAAATTCCTCACTACTAAAAGCAAAACATGATTACACAGAACATTTTATCTTTACATTAGCGCGAGCGAAATAGAGAAAAAGAAAAAACAACCAAGCCAGTATAGCAGACGTTCTCTTAACGGTGATGCTGTTGAGAGTTTTAGTTGAAGTTTCAGTTTGATGGAGTCCTGTTCTTCTTTAAGCTCCTCTTTATCACTAAAACATTCGTCACTAACTACTTTAATCACTCCTATTAACAATAACTGGAGAAGCAGGAAGATCAAATCTCGTGTATTACAGGTTTCTGCATTTTCTTACCAGAAATTCATTCATTTTGCTCTCAATGAAACCAAACGTCAGACCGTTTTGGTCCCTTCTCCCCTTCAGGTATTTCATTTTCTTTTTATGGATGTTATTGCCTACAAACAGAAATTGGTTGGTTGTATCAGTTCTGTTGAATCTCTCACTGGATTATATTGTGTGGCAGCAGAAAAGGGTTTGTTTTGTTTTTCTTTTGGGATTTAGATTGTGTTCTAATTCTTCATTTTATGCACGTTTCTTCAAATGAGTTAGAGGGTTTGGATATATATATATTGGATATATATAGTATATTATATATATATAATATATATCTACTGATTTGGGATGATGATAAATGCTTTCTTTCTGCTTAATTCTATATATCTACTGATTTGGAGATGATGATAATGCTTTCTTTCTCTTAATTCGAGCCTCTCTTCACTCTGCAAGTTACTCATTTATAATTAATTGCAGAAAATTTGTATTTGTCTTGAGGTTTTAACGATATAATTGTTGTAGGGAAAACGCCAGAATTTGATAGCAATTTCTGTAAATTTCGTGGCAGTTTGTGGATAATGCATATGTTTTATAATTTATATCCAATAAATAAATGCATTAGTTGAGAAAATAATAACACAACATAGAGAAATTTGCTTTGCTGGTTGATTATGATTTTTTTTTTTTTTTTAATCATTATCAAGATAAAGTCTGAAAGAAGCTAACTTTAACTTGATTACTTTTGTAGTTGAGGCACTATGGAAGTATGTCAAAGCAAAATTTAGGCTATTGGGTGCTTGAAAGTTCCGCTTAGTGCTTTTGCAATTTCTCCCTGGTTTTGTATTTGTAATTATGCTCCTTTGAATGTTCATATCTTCTTTGGTTTTTTACTAGTGCCTGCATACAAAGCTTTTTATCTTTCGTTGGACACTAACAGAAACCTCGCATTGAGAAACCTTGCATTTTGTTGACTTTGTTTTTTCTTGGCCTTAGATAAATTAACCAAAGGCTTCAAGATGCCTGATTTCTTCTTTTTCTTTCAAATTTAAATTTATCATTATAGATATTGTTATAACTTGTGATTTTGGCTCATTATTATGACTGCTTTCGACCGTTCTAAATAATTTTGGATGCATGGATAAAATGATTGTACTTAATTCCATTTCAATTTTTTTTTCATGTTCTTTAATCATTTTCTTCCCATTAGCTTCATTATTGCAGAATAGGAGCTTAATATCTTGTCAAAAAGTTTTCATTTGATTTGATTGCATGTTTATTTGAAACATTGTCATTAACTTATCCTTGCTGGATTGCTCCCTGTTTGCAAATTTGACGGAGATTCTAGGGAGGCATAGCAAAAAAAGTAGCAATAACTTCAAATAAGCCTTTACATGACCAGGAAACAATCAATGTGAATTAAGGTCTTAACTCATTCCTGTTTACATGGGTAACAAGAGCAGTTTTGGATCAGGAAAACTTTAGTCCCATGACTGCAATGGATGGAAGAACAGAGCTTAAATTGCTATCATTCCAATCTCCCAAGATTAGACTCCTACGTAGTTTGAGTGTTGAAAATGAAGCAATGCAGGTACTGTTTTCTTGTATGCTTGTTTCTTTTATATATGATTTTCATGGGCTGTTTGAGAGATACAACTATCACATGACTTTCAGATTTCACATGTGAATATTCTTAATGATCATTTCAACTTGCATACCGCAGCTTTGAGTTCTTTTTATTTGGCAATGCAAAAATGTCTCTCATACTTCACATTAATTATATAGTATATTATTATAATTATTATAATTTTATCATTTTTTAAAGGGGTGAAAATGCAAGAGAAGCTTCTTATCTCAAGAGGTTCCAGGTTCCCTCTTTAGAGCTTGAACTACAATCACCATAGGTCGTAAAAAGAAAACCCTGAACCCAGCCACTCAAACACCATCCACACCCTTAACCCACAGACCCATAACCAGATCCGTAACCCGGGACCATAACAAATTCCCTTTATTTTATTCGTGAAATTTCTGTGTATTGCCTATGATGCCATGAGTGCAGCATCCTAAGTCTTATCTCACTTCTGCAATTCTTTTAAAAGCCTGATTTCTTCTTGTCTAGAAAGTCTTTGGTATCTTTTGCTTTCATATGCTATAAAAGTTTCCGAAAAGTACTCAATGCACTAATTTGTCAATTGGTGCAAAGAAGATAATGTCTTAATCACGTTGAACAAACCACCATTTTAAAGTACAGAGAAACTGTCTGCTCCCTTTTTCCCTGTTACAAATTAAAATCAATGACTTCCTACGAAATCAGCTTAGAGTTTGTTTTCTTTTTTTCTTTTTTCTGAATCTTAAAATGCAATTCAGAGATGTATTAATGGTTAAAAATGGGTTAACTTAGTCTAATTGATCTCTTGGGTGAATCCATTTAGGTCATGTTCAATATTATTGACCTAGGATTGTAAGATATCTAAAAGATATAGATGGTTAAAAGCACACTTCGATTTTCTGGGTGAATTTGTCTGATTCAAGCTTCTCTATCTAGCATTCCCCCACCCCCTGACTCTTATTCATCTTTCTTCAATATTCCTGTGGTTTTGCTGTCTAAATTGAGAAGTTGATGAGGCCTTTTCTTTGGTCTAGGATGTGGGAAAGTGGAAGAAAGATCATATTGTTCACTAGGAGTTTCTTTGTGAACCTAAGTTCTGTCTGAGGAAATCTATTGTATGAAGACATTTCCTATCTTGGCAGTGGTTATGGCAATTTCTGTTATAGGTTCAATCCCTGACATCCCTGTGGCATAAGGTAATTGAGAGTGACTACGGCCTTCCTAAGTAGATTCCTTCCTCTAGTCCAATATAAAATTGGTAAAGAATTCTACATTTCTTTCTTGGAGGATGTTTAAGGAGATAATTCGCTTTCCATTCTTTGCCTCTCCTTTAAGATATAATGGACCAAATACAAATATCTATATAGAAGGAAGTCGTATTGTTTGGAATATTTAACTTTTCAGAAACATTAATGATTGAGAAGCAATGTCTATTATGTTGTATTATTGTTACAAAACCTATGTCAATCCTTTCAGCTTTTTTCTACATCAGATAGCTGAATGTGGTCATTTGGATGATTGTAGAAAATTCTTCTAAAGTTAAAACTAATTATTTGGACTGCCTTGTTCAAGGAATCAATACCAATGATCTGTTATGTATAAGCAGACCAATTAAGATCTTGGTATATTATTATTTGCTGTAATAATAGCAGGATGCACATTCTTCTTTTTGGTCATGGTTTTTCATGGCACATTTGGAATTTTTGAAGGAAGTTGAGCATGTAAAGGGACTGGGGATTTTTGCAACCTAATCGGAGAGGTTTTGGTTAGAAGAAATTGGAAGATAGGTGGTACTGTTCTGTATTTGGGGTGGTTTGGATTTTTAGATGAGAGAATGCTATACTTGGAGCATAAAAGAGCGCCTGTATAATTATTGTGGGAAAAACAAACTTTTTGGCTTCAATTTTGATTTGTCTATAGCTTTCAAAGGGGCGCTTTACCTGATGTTTAAAGTGGTAAGAAAGTGTCATAGCATTGGTTGTTTGTTTTATTTGTATCTATCATTTGGCTCTTTTAGCATTAAGAGGAGGATATCTTTATCTTCCAATTTGTAAATTCCTTTCTTTTCATAAATGAAGTCTTCTTTTATTTGAGGAAAAACAAAGAAAGAAACAGGAGAGAGAGAGAGAGAGAAAGACCTAGTTCCTGGAGTGATGAAAAATAAAGCAAAAACAAATTAGTATTTTTACCTTCCCATATGTTCAGTGGTGAGACTTTGGTTCTACTTTTCCAATCTGCATGCACGATGAAACATTATAGAAATCTGAATCTTTTGGACTAGCATGCAGCATAAACAGTTCTTTTATGCCTAAAAACTTTTTTGATTTCTCAGTAATTCCTATTATTCTAAAAAATACAGGTTTTGGATTTTGCTGTCTTTGCCAGACCAGAATTTGATGTCCCCATATTTTGTGCTAATTTTTTCACAACTGCTAGCATGAACATCATTGTACTGTAAGTTTTTCTTCACTTTCTTTCTTTGTTTTTTGGAAATTGTTCGAATCTTTTTTATTTTGTAAATTTTAATTGCATATCTGTTTCAGCATGTGCTTTCTTGTTTATCCCCTGTTCTTAAGTCTATTCTTCATACCCTCTCATATCAGCTCTTCTTTTTTTTTTTTTTTTTTCCATTTCTTAATTTCATTTGCGGACTGTACATGATGTAGAGAGATGAGAGTACCTCACCATTCACAGGGGAGAGAAACAAATACTTCTTAAAATCTAGATAATCAATTCGCATAGACAAATCATTTTTTATGCTCACAATATTCCATAGGTATGAAATGCTGTTGCCAGTCTCTTGTTCATTTTGCATGTGGAATTTTTTTCCTTGTCTTGTTCTGTGTCTAACATGTTCCAACTGGTACCCTATTATTTTTTCTTTTGACTTCAAACAACTTAAACTTCTATACCTAGAAGCTGGAACCAGTTATGGACTTCTTCAGGACTCTGGAACTTACCCTTTCATAATTTTGTAGGGACCTCAATCCCTTGCACAATGTTATTGTCCAAAGTGATTACAAGGAAAAGTACTATAAAAGCTTATTGCCTTTAGGTCTCAAGTATGCAGAGGTAAGTGCAATAATTAGCTTGATGCATCAAGTAGATAATAATTATTTGTTTCTAGTCCATCTAAAATTAATGGTTACTGAAACAAGTATTCCATGCAGCTTTTTCCTTGGGGAGGAAAGCTCACAAGTGAGTCCTTGCAATTTTTCTCACCAATTGTGATATGGACTAAGTTCACTTCAACCCAGTACAGACATGACACATTATATTCTGCTTTCGTGGATTACTACAAGGTGGAAACTTGAAACCTTTTGTCACTGCTTTATCTTATGTAATGGATTATTATGCTAAATTACTAACTATATGCTATAAATGAAAAGAGATTAACATGCATTTGGTGGTTAAATTCAAATAAATAGCTGTTTCCAAATCAAAAAGTACTGTTTTACTATTTCTTTTCTGTTACTCTTTTAGGCATGGCTTAAGCTGATTGAACATGCTCCAGAAGATAAAGATGCATCTCAAATTATATGCAACCAGGAAGCACAACACAAGTATCTAACGTGGAGAGCAGAAAAGGTGATACCTGCCCATTGAACTTATCCTCTGTTTTATTAAGATAGGAATTTGATTTTACATGCATACATGCTTGCAAATGATCACCATATTGATTTTCTTCATTTGAAGCTTTCCAAGTAATAGATAAGATAGGCATTGATGCTTAATGTAAAGGTCTCCTATTTTCCTATACAAGAGTGAATGTCAATAGTCAAATCTCAATAATTAAAATTTCATTCTCTTCATTAGTAATGGTGCTGCATAAGATGGCTTATCCAGAAGAAAAGGTGAGAAAACATTCACTTAAAATGGTATATGAGAGGAAAGTATTATGCAATACCATACAAATAAAAGAGAGAATTTCAATGCATGCTGGTCTCAACAAGTTATTAGTATGATAACTTTTTTGTTTATATCATATATATCTCTTTATCACATGGACTTGCGAGTAGCCTTGGGCTTTATGTCAACTGGCAAATAGTGTTGTGTAGCACTAGGTAGTTTTTTGGTTCATAAACTAGATACCAAATTAGAAGCACATCTGTGTTTGATGTGCATGGAGTTTCTCAAGAAATTGCGAGTTTGGTTTAAGGAAAAAGCAAGAAAGTGAGATTATATTAGATGGTACATTGGTACCCACGTGCAATCAGTTCAAATATCTAGGCTCTATGCTCCAGAAAGGGGTTCACATAGATGAATATGTTTCTCATAGATTTATTTGTAGGATGGATGAAATGGAGTAGTGTCACAAGTGTACTATGCGATAGGAAGATATCTAACAAGGTCAAAGGTAAGTTCTATAAGACAGCTATGAGACCAACAATGTTATATGATAGTGAATGCTGGGCACCTAATGCGCAACATGTTCAGAGGATGAATGATGTGAAGATGTTAATGCTGAGATGAATGTATAGTCATATAATGTTGGATAAGATTAGAAATGATCACATTAAACAAAAGGAGCTAATAGCGGAAGTCGGAGATAAAATAAGAGGAGGATGCCTAGGATGGTATGTCATGTATTGTGTAGAAACTCACATGCCCCAATTTGCAAATGTGATATTTTGGTAGTGGAAGGTGCTGACAAGAAAAGAGGTCGACCTAGAACTGTTTGGAGGGAACTTGTTGTTAAGGATCTACGTTCTTTGGATATTAGTGAGGATATAGCTACAAACAAAATAGAATGGAGGCTAAATATTCATATAGTAGACCCTTGTTAGTTATTGTTGCCTATTTCATGCTTTGTTCTAATTATTAACATATCAAATGATTTTAAAATTCCTCTTCAAATTTTTTTTACAAAAAAAATTTAAAATTGTTATGATTTATATTTTTCTTTCCATTGTTTTTTACTTGATCAAAATGGATATTTGAAACAAAGGATTCATATAGTCGACCCTAACTAGTTTGGGACCAAGGCTTGATTGTTGTTGTTGTTTGTATCAATTATTTTGCCTATAACACAAGAACTAACATTGACATTGGCAAGATATGCTCCTGATAGGTAGACAACATTCAAGTTGAAGAAGATATTTTTGAATGGGACTTTTATGCCTAATGAAATAAACCTTCTGGCTAGCCAATTTAAAATCACAATGATTTAAGCAGATATATTGGAAAAGAAAAAGATGATAGAATGACCAAAAAAAATAGTTAAGCATATGGGTGTGGATTCCTATTTTCTTTTGATTTCAACCTTGCATGTGTGTATATGAGTTTTCCTCACTTGTTTGACTCACTTACCATCCGGAAAGCAGGATCCAGGCCATGGAATTCTGAAAAGGTTGATTGGTGAAAGTCTTGCAAAGGTACCATTCTTCATTTGCTGTATCTAATAGTGTTTTCTGCCAATTAGCAGAATGTTGATTACTTCACATCTGATTCATAGGACGTGGTGAGGAACTTCCTCTTCAATGGAATCAATGAACTCGGCAGCAAAGGATTCTTGGATTATTTTCCAGAATACTGTTGTGAAGATGGGAATATAAATAAGAAGCGCAGTATCATTGGGAAATCTTTTGAAAACCGTCCATGGGATGCAAAGGGAGAATTCTTAGGTAACAATATCAAAATTTATTAGACATCTTGACTGGTAGACTTTTTCTGTTTCCTCATTCTACCTAACTTTTCACCTGTTCAATTTTGAAGCTAGAAATTTTGTGATATGTGCAATTTTTCTTTTTCCTAAGAAAAAAATCGAAACATCTTGTATTCGGAAAGTTTCAAGTGCTAAGTATGCCATTGTTGGCTGCCATAGCTTCTCCTCCAGACACCAATCATGTACATGTATCCTGTTTAGTCCATTGTCTTCTGTGTCATTTTTGAAATGACATGATAATAAGGTCCTAATCTCGATAGGTCGGTCTATATTGGGATCATTACAAAAGGAAAGGATTGTTTCATTCTGCTTCTGACACGAGAGATGGCATAAAAAGGGGTACAAAATTTTAAGAGTCCGCACAAAGTTGTGCCTGGTACAAGTAGGGGTGGCCATATTACGGTTCCGGGAACCGGAACCGGTGGTTCGAACCAATCCCGAACCGTAATCGGAGCCAGTCGGAACCGGAACCGGAGATTTCCTGTTCGGTTTTGGTTCCAGTTTTGTTGGAACTGCAAACCGGCGGTTCCACAAACCGGTCGGAACCGGATGGAACTGCCGGTTCTCCGGCCGGTTAGAACCGGGAGGCCAAAGTCGGAACGGAACGGAGAATTTCCTGTTCGGTTTGGTTCCCAGTTTTTTGTTGGAACTGCAAACCGGCGGTTCAACAAAACCCGGTCGGAACCGGATGGAAAACTGCCGGTTCTCCGGCCGGTTAGAACCGGCGGTTCTAGTCATTGAAAAATCTGTCAGGTTTTTTTTTTTTTTTTTTAACTTATGGTTTCAAACTTTTTTAAAACAAAAAAATAATTTAGTTTGAAGAATTTTTTTTTAAAAAAAAATAATTAAAGTTCAAGTCTTTAAACAAATAAATTTAATTGGAAGCATTTTTTTAATTTTTAGGGTGTATTTTTTTTTAAGAAATTAAACTTTCAAAAATAACTTTCACAAATTTATTAAATTTTGAAAATCGGTCTTCAAAATTTAAAATTTAAAATTATGCGATTTGCCGGAAAATCGATCGGAACCGTCGATTTTAAAACCGTACCGGAACCGGAACCGTTTGGTTTTAAACCGGAACCGAAAATTTTCGGTTCAGTTCTGGAACCGGAACCGCCGGTTCCGGAACCGTGGCCACCCCTAGGTACAAGTTGAAATACACGAAGGTAAATTACTAGTGTAACCCTATGAAAAATGAAGGGAAGAAACGGTAGGGAGATTAATGAATTTCGAAGGAAAAGATGCAATGATTTGCTTCTTTCGGCCACCAATTATTTTTAGTTTGTTTTCTCTCCTAAAAAATAATTGTTTTTCGAAAACAAGATAGATATTAAACATTTATTGTTCAATGGGAAGATAATAAGGAAAGAGGGTTAGTATTGTTCAGTGGCTTGGGATTAGGGCAGCTATTCAATCACATCCTTCGACCTTCGTGCTTGTCATTCGGTTAGTAGTAAATAGATCAGCGCTTTGCAAGTACTGCACCAACATTAGAAAAATTAAAGGCAAGGGCATTTCTAACGTTAATATGGAACGTTCTTATTTAATTGCCACATCAGAAAAATAAAAAGATTTTTTAAAACATATCCTCCAATTGTGATATCTATTTGGTATGTTAAGTTTATGTGTCAAAAAAATAGATAGATATTGTCTAACACGTTTCTATTTTTAGAGGATTTATTAGATAATATGAGCGAAAAAATTTCAATATATATATAGATATACAAATATGTCAATAAAATGTTATATATTGTTAAAGTTAAAATTTTAAACTGCTCACCTATCCCTTCATTTTATTTAAAATAAATTTTGAAATGTAAACATTTAAAACAATTTAAAAGGTTTAATTGTGTATTCTATTTGAAATTTTATTTTTTTAAAAAAAATCAAATCAAATCATAAAAATATAAAGAAAAAATATTAATAAAAATAATATTAATAAAAATAATATAGTTTTTTTCCTTTTTTATCTCTCCAAATAAAATATTATATACATTCTATTGTGAAAATTTACTTTTAAAAAAATATATCAATCAAATTAATAATAAAAAAAGAATATTAATAAAAAGAATTTACTTTTTTATTTTTTAATATGAAATAAAATATTTTTAAAATTAATTATTAAAATAGAATCGAAAATATTTAAAAAAAAATATAAAATTTCAAATGTTTCCATTATTTCATATTATATTTTTAAAAATGAATTTAAAAAAGAATAAAACTTAAAAATTTTGAAAATGCTTAAAATGATAATATTAACAAATTATTCAGTTAATAAAAAGAAAGTAAAAAATAAAAAATTATTATTAAGAATAAAACTCCTTTACAGTATTCAACTAATAAAAAAATTCAAATGTAATAATATATAATATATTAATAAAAATATTTACATATATTTTTTTAAAAATTAAAAACTTTAAATTTTCATCAGTCCTACCATATATATGTTCATTTTATTTAAAATAAATTTTAAAAAAGTAAAAAAATTTAAAAATTTTTGAAAAAGTTTAATTACGTGTTGATTCTATTTAAAAATTTATTTTTAATTTTTAAAAAATATATTCAATCAAATCGTACAAACAAAAAGAAAAAGTATTAATAAAAATAATATATTTTTTCTTATCCCTCTTCTAAATAAAATATTATGTATATTCTATTTAAAAATTTATTTTTCTAAAAATACATAAAGAAAAATATTAATAAAAATAATATATTTAAAAAAGAGTTTTAATAAATTATATCTAATCAATTAATCCCTCTATTCCCACATTTATATATAGTATAAATGATTAATTTGTATTACACTTTGTCGTACTGAAATAACTCGAAAATAAAATTTCATAGATTTTTGACTTAAAATTTAATTTTTTATTTCAACCAATGAAATTATACAATGAAATTTAAAAGAAAATATTTTATTATTGTTAAACCTGATCTGCAAATCAGTTGGATCCTCAAATCAGAAGAAAAATCTATAAATCAGATAAAAATCAAATTAAACCACTGAGTTGGACCAAACCGATTTGAATCGAATCAGAATGATCCAGAAAGCCCTAAGAATTTCTTTTTCTTTCTTTTCTTTTTCGTTCTTCTTCTTCTTCTTCCCGATCCATCGACGCTCAGCCATCCTTCTCTCTCTTTCTTTGAACTGGCCACCTCAAATAGGCTCGTTTTTCTTTTTCTCTCTCAATTTGATCGCGCCACCACTCCTCTTCGTAGCGCCTCAGTTCCTCTCTCCCTCTGTTTTCATTCGAGTGAATTGCAGCGGCGGCATCAGCCTCCAGCCGCTGCTCAATGTTGCGTTCTCTCCTCGCTCGCGACTTCGGCAAGAGCTGCAGTATAGTCGAGCTATAGTCTCTTTCCTCTGATCAAGGGCAACGTTAATGGCGACACTTGGCTCCTTCGAGCCCGTTCCGGCTGACTAGAGGACTGATCTCACCTAACCAACGCCAAAAATGGACTCTTCAATGAAATCCGAGCTTGATGGTATGAAGAGCGCTCGATTTTGGGCATCTACGACTTTCCGGCCATCGTGGGCGGCGGCGCAGCAGCATTCCGGCGACTGGTCGGGGAGACCCCGGGAGGCAGAAACTTAAGACTTGTACTGTAATTTAAAATTTAGTTTATTAAATTTAATGTAAATTTCAATTTAGAAATTATTGCTACTGGGTTAAATTGATTTTGATTAAAGTAATTAAGGATTAAGAATAAGATAAGGATTTTAATAAACTAGAGCAAATTATAATTACTAACATATAAATAGATTGAGAATTTAATAAATATGAAGTTATAGTGTGGATTTTAGATAAATTGAGTAAAGCATATAAATTAAATACAAATATGATTATATAAAAAGAAAAAGAGTTAGAAATATAATTAAATTATATTGGTTTTTTAATTTAATTTGAACCAGTACTATTGAGGATTATAGACTAAACGAGAAAGCAAAATTAAATAATTATGTGTTATACGAATTATCTTGAGGACGAAAAGTGATTTAAAAAAGAAGAAATTTTGGATGGATATCAATCATTTTGGAATTAGAGTTGCATTATATGAATTTAAATGGTAAATTGAAGGAAGTATTAGTTTTAGTAGTTAATTCGGATTTAATTCAAGGATAATATATTTCGAATAAAGTTAATTAAATAAAAAAATTGTTCATATTGTGTGTATAAAAGATTTATTTGTATGATGACTGGTTAAGGAAGTAAATCATATCAAGATAAACTGGAAATATACGAAGATAAAGTAGAAATATAACCTATAAGCTATAAGTTGAACGTAAAAATTATTACCTGTGGTGACTGGATATTTTAATTGATTGATTGTCTGATAGATAGACTGTATGAATAGTAATTGATAGGTATATTAAATGGTTAATATTTAAACAAATGGAAAGTTCTATTACAGGGAAAATGCAATCAAAAGTATTAATAAGATTTAGATTAGCTATAGCAGATCTATATTTAGCGAATGTCTATTAAATTAGTTTTTTAATTTCTTATTTAAGGGAAGCCATATGTTTAATACAGTCTTTTCTTTACATTTGTGTTTTATCTAGATTGTTTGAGTTCGTCTACCACTTCTACTAATCAAAAATCTAAGCTAAAACTTGCTCTATTTTAGAGCTAGTTAATTAGACCTCCTTTTCTTACTTCTCCTGCTAGCGCTAGCCATCTCCTTGCCCAAATTTCGATCTTAGGATAAAGGGGTACCATATCATATGTGTAACGAGAACGGACATGACACAGCAAGTTGCTAGTATAACTAGTTCGCAGATGTTGACACTAGGTTCGAATCAAGGTTTGGAGGTGAAAGACGTTAATGCTAAACCTATTCCCCCGCAGAGTGAGGCTCCCTTCAGGGGAAGCAAAGCGAGAAGGGGGATGCTGAAGGCAGGGCTAGTGACTGGAGTGAAGTCATAACAAGGTAGTCGTACTGGAAGGTGCGGCTGGATCACCTCGATCACCTCCCTTTTAGGGAGAAGGTAATGCTTATTGCGGTATATCAAGATTCAGTCTCCGGTTCCATATTTAATCGACAATCCTTTCTAGTTCACATCTTTGTTGAAAGAAATTTCTTTTGCTAATTCCTTTAAGAGGGTAGCGAGAAAGGATTGTACATTGAGGAGCATAGGAGGTCAACCTTCTTTTTTCTAACTATACAACATGGATTCTTGAAGTGCCTAAAAGAGCTAGCTATATCAGGGTATTATGTGAATTGAGTCGTTATAGCTTCTCATTTATTATATGCTGGCCCTTTTAATGGCGAATATTGGGGCCTTTCTTCTATATTTTTAGAGAGAGAGAGAGTTATAATATGATTTATGAAGCTGCCACTTTATATATATATATATATATACAAATTATATTTAGCCTTCACTCTTTTAATACTCTATTATAAAAATAACATTATTTACAATATGATCTATCAATAAATTATAATATTATAAGCGTATAAGAATTATATATTTATATACACTCCATAATTATACATTTATACTCATATGTACTTATTGATCTCCTATTTGATATATTATATTATATAGTTGATTGGTTTACTTGTGATGTGACTATACTGTGCCTTGTTTGCAGATAGAATTGGGATGAAGTGGGTCACCATGGAATTGTGATGACAATCCGGCACCGTTGGCCATGTATGGGAGATCGGCACTTAATGAAATATGATATGAATAATACGGCAAAATCACATGTTGGCCTCTTGTTGGTAATGGAAAAAAAAGAGAATGGAAAAATAATGTGAGGACTGGTTAAGTGAGGAACAGACCAGTTGGTCACGTATAGGAAATCGACTCCTTGGTGCACACGTATAAAAGGACAAACCATGTGTGATGACGACTTGTTAGGAGTTTTGTGACGCCACTGACCAATCCCCATTTGATGTAATTAGTTGAAGGTGATATTATTTATGGATGCCGATGTTGTAACATTTGCTTGATTGGATGAGTTTTCATCATAATAAGTGTGGAAAACATCCTGTGTGATCGATTGAGTTATATATTGTTTATTATTATTAACTGAATTTGTGAAACTCACCCCTCCTATATATTTTTCCCAGGAGGTAGACATCTTGCTAGTTCTGAAAGGCTCTGCTTCTTTCTCTGTAGAGTTACAATAATAAATTTCGGTTTTTAGTAATATTTAAAAAGTATAGTATTGTGTGTATAAAAATGTATTTATCTTTATATTGAGCTCCGTAATTAGGGAGTCATATATTATAAATTATCATGTAAAGGCGTGTGAAATTTTCTAACTGACTCACTAAAAGTATGAATGGACCAGTTTGCCCATATTACGAATGACGTTAATGATATAAAAGAAAAGTTTTAGGCTCGAGCTATGAATTAATAGAAATGTGTAAGCTGGGCTAGAGATAATAAATTAATAACATGATTTAATACTATCAAATTATGGGCTTATTATTCTTAAGACTAGTTTAAAAGGACTGAATTTATGTGAGTTAGGCTTACTACGGGCCTCGGGGGCCTTAAACTTACTTGACCCCTAGTGCCAGTTCAGCCCACGGCTTTGGGTCGTGATAAAAAGATGCGGCTAGTACTGTCAAAAAAGGTTTAAACCCGTCGACAACTCGTGATCACTTGTAATTTGTTTGAATATGGACACAAAATTGAGGCCCATTTTTAAGACGGGTTTTTTTTTACCCAGCCCCTTTTTTACTAAAGCCTACACGGGTCGAGTAGGATGGGTCTGTGGAGGCCCGCGTTGAAGTAATAAAATTAAAAAAAAAAAGAAAAAAAGATGAACTTTCAAAACGGACATATCTGGGCCCGTCAGTGGCCTGCGCAGGCCGGGCCGGGCTTGAATATCAGAGGCCCGTTTTTAACGAGCTTTTTTATCTCGACCCGTTTTGGGATCGAGCTCGTGCGAGCCAAGTCAGATAGCCTATTTTGCCAGCACTAGATGCGGCTTATTTTCACTGATTTTCCCTTACTAGACAAGTTCTTACTTAAATGTCCCTACACTTCAATTCCTCACTTAAAAATACACCAACTTGAATTGTAGTAAGAGTAAAGTATTTTAGCCAATTTTCTTGTTACTTGATGGTTGAAATCTGACATGGATTTAATGTGTTGGCTTATTCAGATTTAATGTTGTCTCTCTCCTGCCCAAACGAATTATTATTGACTCTCCCCTGCCCGTTATTGATTATCGCGTTTCTTCTTCCATCAAAGAAAGTATAATGACTTTTGGCTTTTGGCTTTAAGAAATTGAAGCGATTCTTTGCTTTCTCTTTTCCTAGTTTTCTCTTTCTTCGATTCCCCTCTCTAAAATAAGTATTCTTTGCAAAATCGCCTGCTTTAACTTTACTGAAGCCTGAGGAGTATGAAAGACAATAAGATAATGGGATTGAAAAGTGGTGTGGAGATTCGATTTTCTGAGAATGGTGCCAAGACCGGATAGTTAGATTCCTTTCAATAGTTTTTTTTTTTATTTCTTCTTTGGCATCTTTGTGGTCCATGTTCTGTCTTTATGCTGTGAAAAGAATATTTTGTAGGATAATATGCATTATTTATTCTTTTTGTACGATTTCAAAAGTAATTAGGGTTAGGGGTTTTTATTAAAAAATTAGGGTTGGGGTTTTCTAATAAATTCATGTGGGGAAATTGATTTAGTAGCTTTCATGACTTTATTATGTTTATATGATTTGCAATTATTAGTTATAAAAATTGAGGATTAGGGTTTTTTATTGTAAAATGAGGATTATGGTTTTTTTATTACAAATCGATTTGGGGAAATGTGTTTAACAGTATCTATTAACCTATTGTTTTTGCGTATAATGTAAAATATGAGTTAGGGTTAAGGTTTTATTTTTACCTAATCAGGGTTAGGGTTTTTTATTAAATATTTCTGGGGAAACATGCTTTAATAGTTAAGGGTTTATTCAAATGCATTGTGAGATGTTGTTTAGATGGTGTGCATTTATTGATGCTTTGAACCATCATTATCAGTGTGTAATGAAGTCATTTAATTGTTTGAAAATGGTTAAATATAAATTAATATTGATAGCTACTGTTGTATTTTTTTTAATTAATTTATTACACTGTAATTCACAGGTTTTATAGAACTAGACTATGATTTTACAGTACATTATGAGGGTGAGATGAGTAAGTGGGGTTATTTCAATGGGTATGTTTTAATTTAGAAAACTGTAATGTAGAGACAATGTCTATGATTAAGATTGATAAACCTTTGTTAGACAATGGTTTTGAGGGTATTATGAGATATCATTGGTTGGAACCAGGTAAGGATTTCAATAGTGGGCTTAGGCTGTTAGAGAGGGATAGTGACGTAAATAAGATATCACTATTTGGGGCTGATGTTGGAACCATAAACCTGTATGTTGAACACTTAGATGTAAATGACCTAGAAAGGAAACTATACTTAAATAGAGGGAACAACAATGTAGTTATAGAAGAGATAGTTGACCCAACTCCTACTATGACTGAGAATTGTACTAAACCAAATACAAGAATACATAATGATGTAGATTTATAGTCATTTGTGCTGAATGAGAACTTTGAGTTTGTGACTGAAAACACATTTTTTAGTGAATTTAGGGCAGATTTAGGCACAAATTGGGGGTACTGGTGTTAGTGCTGATGCAGGTGGAGGTGAGTGTATGCATGGGGGTGGTGAGGGTATGCATGGGGGTGATGAGGGTAATGTTGATGCTGGGGATGGGGAGCTAAGAGATGAGAAGTACAATGTGGAAGATGGAGATGATGATTTCAATAGGGTTGTTAATGATAGAGACAGTCAGAAAGATCCTAAGGGTAGGCCTAAGGGTAGTGGGGCAGGCATTAACTTAGGAAATTTGGAAGACACATCGAGAGTTGAGCCTAATGACGATGACTTTAAATATGCTCCCTTTGATGAGCTTCAAACTGAGTTAGATTCTGATGAGGAGGGTAGGGTTAGGTTTCCAACATTTAATGCTTCCAAAGACATGATGAACCCAACATTTAAGGTTGGCATGCTTTTTTAAAAATGGAGGGAATTTAAAGAAGCATGTGGGAATTATGGAATCAAGAATAGATTTCAAGTTACTTTTTACAAGAATTGTAGGGAAAAGGTGCAAGCTAGGTGTTATAAACAATGAGGTTGTAAAATTTTTGCTAGTTTATTTTAACCCAAGTCTAAGGATGATCATACTTTTCAAATAAAAACATCTTTAAAGCACACTTGTGCAAAGGTTCATACAAACTTTCATTGCACAGCAACTTGGTTAGCAAAAACTTATCTCGAGGACTTTAAGATGAACCCAGTTTGGGAATTGAGTCACTTCATTGATAGGGTGAAGAGAAATCATAGTTACACCATAGGGAAGATGAAAGATTGGAGAGCTACGGCTAAGGCTTTGAGTGTGATTCATGGGGATGAGCTTTGCAATTTGGTAGGCTATATGACTACAAAGCAAAATTACTTAGGACAAATCTAGGTTCTTTTGTGATTTTTAAGGTGGAGAGTGGGGTTTTTGAAGGGATATATATCTGCCTTCAACTTTTGAAAATGCTTTCATACATCACTTGGGGCAATTAGTTTGTTTAGATGGGTGTTGGTTAAAGGGAACATATGGGAGACAGCTACTTTCAGCAGTAGGAATTGATCCAAATGATTATATTTTCCTCCTTGCATATGTTGTGGTGAAGAATGAATGCATGGAGAGTTCGGGGTGGTTTTTAGGGAACTTTTGAAAATGCTTTCATACATCACTTGGGGCAATTAGTTTATTTAGATGGGTGCTGGTTAAAGGGAACATATGGGAGGCAGCTACTTTCAGCAGTAGCAATTGATCCAAATGATTATATTTTCCTCCTTGCATATGTTATGGTGAAGAATGAATGCATGGAGAGTTCGAGGTGGTTTTTAGAGAACTTGAAGGAGGACTTGCAACTCAACAATGACCATCATTTTGTGTTCATGAGTGACAGGTAGAAGGTTAGAAGCTTACCATTTATGTGTTTTATTTTTTATGTTATCTGTGTCACATGTGTGCCAAACTGACTTATGCTGTTTTTTCTTTCTATTTTATGCATAGGTCTTTTGAATGTGATCAATAGGATGTTGCCTGAGGTAGTGTGGTAGCCCAGGCTTAAAAGATATTATTCGCTTTGGGCCGAACCCACTTAGGCCCGTACGGTTTTATTCTTAGGCTAGAACCAACTCAATAGCCCAAAAGACCTCTTACTAGTCTAAGGCTTGCCCATCCTACGTACTTCACTCACACCTTGTGTTTAGCCGATGTGGGATTCGCCTAAGGTGTCACATCCACACCCTCAGGGACTCAGCGTCCTCACTGAGGTTTGCCCCACCACCAGCCAGAAGGACAAGGCTTGGCTCTGATACCAAGTCTGTGGCAGACTAGGCCTAGCAAGATATTGTCTGCTTTGGGCCGAACTCACTCAAGCCACACTGTTTCGTTCTTAGGCTAGAACCAACTCAATAGCCCAAAAGGCCTCTTGCTAGTCTAAGGCTTGCCCATTCCTATGTACTTCACTTACACCTTGTGCTTAGGCGATGTGGGATTTGCTTAGGGTGTCACATGCAGAACATAGGTTGTGTGTTAGACACCTATACACTAACTATAGGGCCCATTTTAAAGGAAAAGAAATGAAAGACCTGCTTTGGAATGTTGCTAGGACTAGCTATACTTCCAAATTAGAATCATGCTTAGAAGAGATTGAAAAAAAAAAAAAAAACAAGATAGAGAACGGTTAAGATAAATACCTTGTGAAAATTGGTCTAGAGCTTGCTTCAAACCCATTGTCCATTGTGATATGCTCATAAACAATCTTTGTGGGGCTTTCGACAAATACATTCTAGATGCTAGGGAGCATTCAATTATAACTATATTGGAGATAATTAGAACTAAGCTAATGAAAAGACTTTATAGGAAAAGAGAACAAATTAAGAGTGTTAATGGAAGGCTGTGTCCTAAAATTCAAAAGAAGTTGGATGAAAATAAAGATTTCTCTCATTTGTACACACCAACTTTCATGGGGGGGCCACAAGTGATAGACATAGCTAGGAAAACTTATACATGTAGGAGATGGAATTTGATTGGAATTCCATGCAGCCATGCAGTTGCTTGCATTCTAAAAAATAATGAACAACTTGAGGAATATGTGCATGATTTATACACTATGGAGAGTTATATGAGGGTGTACAGCCACTTCATTAACCCTATTAATGGACCTGAGATGTGGCCAAAGTCAAATCCTGATGGTGAATTGCTTCCCCCATCACCTGTGAAGAAAAGGAGAGATGCCCAAAGGCAAGAAAGAAACAAGCTAAAGAGATTGAGTAGCCTGCTGCAAAAGGGAAGCTTTCAAAGAAGGGGAGGTTAACATGAGATGCACCATCAGTGGAGTTATTGGACATAACAAAAGATTTCATGGTGTTGAGACAAGTGCGAATGCGACATCCCAAAATGAAGTCATTCAATATCAACTACATTTTTTTAAAACAAATCTGAATTATTTTAGAATAATGTGTAATACAATTGCTATGATTTAATGTAGAAAAAAAGGAAGAGGAGCACAACAAATGCTAGTCCACCATGTACAAGAAGTAGAGCATAGTTTACAAGCACTCCAAGTCAGCCTTATGAAGTCCTGTGACTGTACAATGGTTCATAGATGTAAGTTTCTCATGTCATATTTTGGATTTTTGTGCATTTCTAAGATTGTGTTTTTTGTAAGATTTTCTGAGATTGTGTTTTTGTGAGATTTTCTGCTTTTTCTAAGATTGTGTTTTTGTGAAATTTTCTGCCTTTTCTGTCAAAAATCATGCTTTGTGTTTGATTGGTTTTGTGCAGGGAAGTAGTCAAATAAATTATGGGACTGGGATCCAAAGGCAACAAATGTCGTTTCCACCACCTCCACCTAATGTTGTTGTGTCTTAGAGTAGCAATCTGATAGAAATTGGTGTCACAGTAGACACAACAATAAAACAGGCATATGACGATCAAATGCAAGCCATGCTGGAGACACAACAAGCAGGAGAACTTCTTAAAATGCAGGGAGGGATAAAGGAAAAAGGTTTGCACAGCCGAGGAAGAAAAAAGATACCAAACCAAGGCAATCATGGAAGTAGCATACTTGAGTTTAGGACACTTTTTGATTATGTGTAATTGTGTATATCTATATAGGATGCAATTTTTTAATGAAGCAAGTTTTTGTGTTTCAAAGGGTGAAACATGCTATGGTTATTGTTTCACTTCTGAATCATTGACATAGTGGTCAGTTTTAGATCATAGTTATTTTGGCTCTTTTTTGTGCTTTTGATATTTGAACATGTGAAAACATTGATATACAATGATTATTTCTGTCAGATGCAAATATTTATAGTTGCATTTTATTCATTAAATATATTGTTCACTTAATTGTTAGGCAAATGTGTTGATTGTTTTTTGTATCTGTCTAAAATAAGTATCAAAAGAATAGGATATAATGTAAATTTTACAGTGTATAAAAAGCATAGGGTATTCACTTCCCACTCATTGATTTAAATTTTATAGGCTACATCTTTTTCTGCATTTTAACCCATTCAATAAACCTACAACAAAACCCCAAAACCCATTCACTTCTCAACTACCATCTCAATACCATTTCAACCCACAATATGATTGCACAATATCCCTAAGACAACAACACACATGACAAGTACATAATTCACACATAGCATTTTTCTATATCCAACTTCAGCTTGTTTTTTTTTTTTTTTTTTCAAGTCAACCCACAATGATGATGCACAATATCCCTAAGAACAAAAACGACAAAATGACAAGTACATAAATTCACACATCTGCAGCATTTTTCTATATCCAACTTAGCTGTTCTTTTTTTTTTTTTTTTTTTTTTTTTTTTTTTTCAAGCTTGTCAATTTTTTTTCAACAAACCACCAATCACTTGTCAATTTTTTCAAGCTTGAATGTACATCACCCTCAGGCTCCACCCACTCTATGAATCGGCAGTAGCTGGGTGTCTGCAAAATAAACTAAGCTTAGAAGAGATTCAACAATAATGATGCAAATAAAAAAAGAAGAAATAAACTAAGAAAAAAACCCTTTCAAGGTTGAAATTAGGTTTCAATCCAAATCTCCTACCCCGTAATTACTGCAACCCAAAAAACGTCTTTCAGGATTGCTTCCTCTCCATGTGATCTTCAAAACAGCTTCTTTCCCATATTTAGAGTATCTCATATCAATGGTGTCGGGCCATGAGCTTGAAAATGGCATCCCATCCATGGCTTCATTCATTTATTCCTACAACAATGAGAAGATGAGCTTGGGTTTAAAAGAAAAGAGAAGACAAAAGGCGATCGTTTTGGTATTAGGGATTCAACGGATGATATAGGAATAACGAGTTTAATGGGGTAGGGGGGAGAAAGAATCAAATATGAATGCAAAAAGTAATATCTTATATGGCTTTTGTTTAATCTGAATAAGCCAACACATTAAATCCACATCAGATTTCAACTGGGAAGTAACATGGAAACTGGCTAAAATACTTTACTATTACTGCAATTCAAGTTGGTGTATTTTTCAGTGACGAATTGAAATATAGAGACATTTAAGTAAGACCCCGTATAGTTTAGGGCCAACCAGTGAAAATAAGCCGAAAGATGCTAAGGATTTGAAGCAAGAATTGTTAGGTAAAGTTTTTGCACTTGAAATTATCATTTTGAGAACAATTGATTCAATTCATCTTGATTTCTTGATTATCTTCAACGATAAATTTGATTCTAAATTTCTTAATTTATCTTCTTATGTTTCTCTAGTGATATTTCTCTCTTTTTTTTCAATTTCTTTTTCTAAAAATTATAATTTTTCATTTCTTGCACTGAATTTCTGGAAAATCCATGTAGGGGTTTGGTGATTATGACAAGTTTTTATTGTGATTTCATGATTACCTCTTTAGACTTTCAATATTTTGATTTTAATTTTGGTGATTTATTGATGATTTTGAGCAGTGTTGGATAGTGATTCTCTACCGATTACCCAATCTTTGCGCTGTGTCTTTTTAAAAGTCACCACTCTAAACCTTTATTTCGTTGGTGTCTTGGTGACATGTTTTGTATTCTAAATGTTTTGTATTATATATTATATATATACTATATATATATATATATATATTACTTATATATATATATATATATATAAAATTTTAAAGCCTTATTTTCTATAGGAATTGAAACTGAAAAAAATATTTCTTCCATCATATATGGAAAAATAGAGATGAGGCTGAAATTTAATTTTCTTGCTAAAAGTACTAACCAAACATTGGGATACAACCTTTTACTCAACCCACTTCTCTTCTAAAGATTCTTGCAATAATATGCTCCCTAAATGATAATTAGAAAACATTTAAGAATATTGTGGATTGGCATATATATCGCTCTCATCGGACTCATTCAAATATAAAATTTAAAAGCCTTATTTTCTATAGGATTTGAAATGAAAAAATATTTTTCCACATATATGGAAAAATAGAGATGAGGCTGAAATTCAATTTTCTTGTAAAAGTACTAACCAAACATTGGGATACAACTTTTTCAACCCACTTTCTCTAAAGATTCTTGCAATAATATGCTCCTAAATATAATTAGAAAATTTAAGATATTTGTGGATTGCATAATATGCTCTCCTGGACTCATCAGAGCACTCAAACTGAAAACATTTTATTTCTTATATAAATGAAACGATCTACCAAACTACACTTGATCGGCTATAATATGGTTATTTTAATTTTTCTATCTAAACTAAGGTGAAAATCCATACCTTTTGAATTCAAGGACTATAAAATCAAATGGATGCAAATCTCGTAACGTCAAAATAATTTTCTCAAACTACAGAGACAAAGCAATCAAATTTATCAAATATCAAGGACTAAATAGTAATGTTTAACGCATAATCAATCTTTCGGTTGCCAATGCTTGCGTTAATCTGGTATTTAAACAGGTTGGAGTATTGAACCGAATCACCGATAATGCTAATCGGGCTTGGGACGAGTTTGGGTTCCGCTAGTGAATTTTAAGCGGGCATCAGACCGTTGCCAACCCAACCCTTCCTTTGCCGTCATTCATTTCACTATTTTTATTTGCGATTTGACTACTTTGCCAGTTGCCTGCCTTATTTGTTTTGCCTAGTCCATTAGATTTCTTCAAGCTTCAGCGCCGGCTGTGTCTGTCATTTGCGATTTGTTCCATCAGTCATCAGTCATCACCGTTCGTTTGGTACTCCGGCGTTGCACCTGATAATCTCGAAACAAAGGTGTGATTTTCTCTGAGCTCATCTGAAATTCTGAATATAGTCATCTTATTATGTGTGGGGTTTTTGAAATTCTAGCAATTAGTTCTTTTGCAACTGTTTTTCCTTTAATATAGTTTCTAATTACAATTTGGAGAATTGGACTCTAATTTTGAAGGTCGCATGTTCATTTTATTTGTCAATTGGGACTGTAAATGTACTTGTTTCTTTATTCTGGGTATTTGGCTTTAATTTTTGCGGATTTTCCTGTTTCTGCTCTAAGAATATTGAGAACCTTGCTATTCTTTCCTGCTGAATTCGCACAGTTGACAGATCAACCGAACCGATTCTTCTTCTTCTTCTTTTCGACACCAACTAAATTCCGGTTTTGCAGTTTGTTCGGTTCACTGCACACCCCTACCCAAAAAGAAACCCGCAAGTTAACTTTCTAATGGTCGTCTATGGTGAAAAGAGATTATGCAAAGAGAAGCCCAACTTCCATTTGGCTCATGTTATAGAATATAAAAACACCATTAAGTAGGAATGAGCATAGAACAGTTAAAACTGAAAAACCAAACCGAATCGATGAAGTTTGGTTTTCTCATTTGTATTTTAGTTTGCTGATTCAGTTTTGGTAGCTCAAATCATCAACCAGGTTAGTCCTTTTCGGCTCGGTTATTGGAGAAATAGGCCGATTCCTCGGTACAACATCTTTTTTGTTCCTTTCTTTTTGTTAGTAATCCTAGGGTGAGATATCTTTTGATTTATTGCTGTAGAAATATAAGAGAAGTTATTAAATTTTTGTTAGTAAGCTTAGAACTCCCTTATGCTTTATAATTAACCATTTCCGTGATCCTGTATTGCACAAAGGGCAATGTAATTCCTTTCTTTACGTTTCATTCTGCTTATAAATTTTTATTGATTTTGACTATAAAATACAAGTTCATGATATGTGTTTGAACGTAGTTCTACTGCTGCATTTAGTCCTAAATTTTAAACAATAATTAGGTTAAGAGATTAGCTTTGTCATTGGAAATTAATTTGAAAGCTAATTAAAAAGAAACAGTTGACATAAAGTAAATGATAAACACCTTTATTTTAGTTTTTTTCTTTCATTTTGTGTTTGCTTTTTATTGAAGTTTCACCTGTTGCTTATGTCTTATTATTTTCTTGGGATGAAATAATATTAGACGCTCATTTTTATATTATTGGACATTAGATTCATTTTTTGTTGAATGAACATTTCCTAGTCAATTCATCTTCATTGCTTTCACCTTGTTTAGTCATTAGGGTTTCAGCTTCTTCAAGAGAATGAATGGCAAATGCAGCTATTGCTACTGCAGCTGTAAACCTTGTGTTTATAATCTTTCTCCATTTGGCTATCACTCTGTATCCTCAACCAATTCATGTTACCTACAAACTCCAAATTATCTATAAATATTACCCATCAATTATTTTTTAAAATTCTTTTGCCTCAGAACTAACTGTAAAACAAACAAAAGAACTCCTTTAATTTAACCAAGAGATTGGAATGTTTTACTTTTACATAGAAATGGCATGCTTAATAAGTTATCTAGTGATCGATATGTGCAACACTAAATAAACAAGCTAATTTAAGTACTGAAAATTAATTAATTAATTAAGAAATAATTATAAAAAATGGTACCTGGTTGGACCGGGTCAAATCTGGTTGAACGAAGTCGACCAGGTCCAACTGCAACCAAGTCATCATGGTGGTTTGATGTCTAGTCCGGTTTAATAACATTGCTCTTTTTGAGTTCTCAGACCTGAAGCCACAGCACAAACATCAACAGTGACAATACCAGAAAGACAACTACTTTCCTAGAAGCACCACTACCTGCAACAAGGTAGCAACATTGATTACGAGCCAAAACAACAGGAAGACTTGCAAGAACGATATCAGGGCAATAAACATGCATTCTTTTTGGTATAGAGCTAATGCCTTGCTAACATTCGCTGTCACCATCCTCGCACTAATGTGTGCCATGGCTTCTCTCTCTGATAACCTTAATTCTCCTTCTCCCACTGCTCAAATCCAGGTCTGTGATTACTACTATCTATATGCATTTTACACATTTGCTGGATTATTTGCATCTGTTGGGATTTCAAACACTAAACTATTATTTTTCGGTTTTTGTGATTGTAGATATTAAATATTAATTGGTTTCAAAAGCAGCCGCATGGGAATGATGAGGTAAGTTTAGGCTTTTGATTTGTTGAAATGGGACATAAATTTTTGGTAGATTTGTAGTTTTTTTTGTTTCTTTTTTATTTTCTTAGTTTGACTTTGTTTTTCTTGAATTGAAGATAATTATTTTATAAATTCACGCCGTTATGGTAAAATAATGAAAAAAAAATGATGCAAGAAAAGAAAAATAAAGATGAGAATTGTTTATTGGTGATTTTGATAATTTAGTTATTTTCTTTTAAGTTTGCCAATTGTAAGTTGTTACGTGTTAAATGACTATGTATTAATTTAGTGTGCATATATGATCAGGTCCCTACATTTACTGTTGTGGTGTGTTGAATTAAATTTCCAGAATTTATGTTAATATGTAACCATATTTTATTTGAACAGGAATGTAATACTCCCGTCCATCCCAAAATGTTTGTCGTGTTGACTTTTACACAAAGTTTAATAAACAAAATAAATATAGTGCCACATCATACAAAATATCCCTAAATTTCCAAAATTGTCTTCCTTTAAAACAAAATGGTTATTCCTAGAATTTAAAACCAATTATAATGTGCGGCATAAAAAAAAAAGTAAATATTTCTTAAGTCAATTGGACAAACATTTTGGAAAATCTAAAAATAGAAACATGGACAAACATGTTGGAACGGATGAATTATTTTATTTATCATGGAATTTGTGCTATTTATAAAGTGAATATATGGTGAATCCTATGGTCTTTTATTTTATTTTAGAAGTTGCAATGAGCTACTCAAATGTCAGCTTTGACCATGTTATCCATTGTTATGATTTCTAGTGTTATTGTGTTAATTTTATTTAGTGATGTTATCTTACTTTGAAGATTATAACTTCTGTTCATATCATCTTTGTTAATATCTGTTATCATTTTCTTGTTGTGTTCATATCAGTTTTTCTTGTCGCAAACAATTGAAAGCAATGATATATTCTATGCTGTGCTATATTACTATGTTCTGTGTCATAAATTTTTCAGGATAGCCATAGGGTCCAGGATTTTTCTTTTGTTTTTTTTTTTTTTGACATTTACACAACTTTATGCTAGAAGTATACACATACAAGCTAAATCTATGTCAATATGTTCAAGATATATGTTGAAGTTGGTATAGTTGTGTTTGATTCTTCTGTTTCGATAAAAAATTGAGCCAAAAATGAATGAGCTCTTTTGTTTTGTTATTTGGTTTCTTCAATGTTCTTAATCATGAAAACCTACACCTAGGTTAGAGCATATCTTTCACACCTAGTGTGATAATTTTTTGGTTCAGCTGCTTTTATTTTGCCTTTTCAGCTCGTAGAAGCTTTGGAAACATGTTCAAAAGAAAGGATGTTGATTGAGAAAAATTTCGTATGCAGCATTCTAGGTGTAGTTTGGAAATAGACTGTCCAGTTCCTTCTTCGAAATGGTCCCCTCATAATTAAGGGAAGCATTTAGTCGGTTTGGTTCAAGTCAAAACAATCCAAATAGTTTCGATTCACCTTGGTTCAGGCGGTTTTGATCAGTTTTCCTTTGGTTTTTTCAGATTCTTCTAGCTGAAAATAAACTCGGTCCGGTCAATTTTGAACTGGCAGTTTGGTTCTTGGTTAACTGATCCATCTGCGCATTCCTACTCATAATTGTTTCTTGTTGTTGAATCTTACCTATTTTAAGACAGTTTGTGGAATCAACGACCTTATATTCTATGCTCAGATAGTGATATAAAGCTTGTATGTGGCTAATTTGTAGAGGACTACCTGATATGTTAGCTATTGCTATAATTTTTAATTAAAATGCCATTCATTTAATGTAGGTCAGCCTCACAATAAATATAACAGCTGATTTGCAGTCACTGTTTACATGGAACACAAAGCAGGTACATCCTCAAAACTTTTGTGGTTTTCTTTTGTTAATGATCTGATAACCATTTCGACTCAGAGTTTCATGTGGCTAATGTGCATATTGCATGATAGATCATTTAGGTTTCCCATTAAGCCTATGATTATATTACTAAACACGCCCTTTTCCTATTGAAGTATCTCTCTCTCTCTCTCTCTCTCTCTCTCTCTCTCTCTCACACACACACACACACACACACACAATTGATCTGATAACCGATTTCCGACTCAGAGTCTTTCATGTGCGCTAATTGTGCATCATTGCAATATAGATCATTTAGGTTTCCCATTAGCCTAATGATTATATTACTTAAACACGCCCCTTTTCCTATTGTTAAGTACTCTCTCTCTTCTCTCGTATCTCTCTCTCTCTCTCTCTCTCTCTCTCTCTCTCTCTCACACACACACACACACACACACACACATTATGACAAACTTGGTCATGTACTTGCATAAAAATTATTTTGCTGCCCATGTCATGGCCATTGAGGTTTTTGAGTTCTTTGTAAATTATACTAGAGAACTGATTCAATATACATATATATGTATTTAAGGTAATTACCTTGTCATCTATTGCAGGTTTTTGTATTTATAGCTGCAGAATATGAAACCCGAAATAATGTTTTCAACCAGGTATTTTTGTATTTTTGTATTTGGTTGTTCCTTTTGAATGTTTAACTAATTATAGTTTGCAAGCTAATAGTGGTGCTAGAATCAATTTGCCTGTTCGTGTTTCTTGTTATAAATAAAAGGCTATTGATGTAAGCCCATTTCACTTGTTTTTAAATGTCAGGGTCTTCTACAGAGCATTATGTCCACTGCTTAAAAAATTGTTCAAACATTTTGTTTTAGGTGTCACTTTGGGATGCTATCATACCAACCAAAGAGCAAGCAAAATTTTGGGTTCAAACTGCGAACAAGTATCGTTTTGTTGACCAGGTATGCTCCTTCAGTAAGATGTTTGCTTTTGTTTGTCCATGCAAATGCCTAAGCTCACATTGGCTCTTGTCTCGCCGACCTGAATTCCAGAATATTATTTTTCAATATGCAGGGAAGCAATCTTCGTGGTAAACAATTCAATTTGACTTTGCACTGGCATGTAATGCCTAAGACCGGCAAGATGTTTGCTGACAAACTGGTCATGTCTGGATACCACTTGCCTGAGGCATATAGATAGAGATAGATCTTTTGCATACGTCTTTGCTGTAAATTGAGTGATTTGAAGTAACAGAGGAACCATTTTTGTTAGAAACAGAAGTAACTGCAGTGATTTGAAGCGGGATGATAAAGTTCTCGTCAATTGAAAAGTTAGAAACGGAGGAACCATTTTTGTTGATAGAAAATATGTTGAGAACAGCTGCTACTGTTACTGTTTACTGAACTGAAATTGATGCATGTGCTGTTATTTTGTTATCTTGTTATTTTGATATTCTGTATCTTTTGCTATGATTACAATCTTCCATATCTTTGATTAGTAGTTAGAGTTGTAAAGATATGAGGAGCTTAAATTATGTAAAAGTTTGATGGAAAAACTTCCTGAAATCATGGAGGTTTGGTTAAAAAACTTCAGTTAAAATGATGTATAAGTATGATCCATGTTCTAGTAAACAGAGTGAACTCTTTTCTGCTCAATATTACTCAATTCTTCTCCAGAAAATTCTGCTATTTTCTCCAATTGCTAAAAGAATTTCAAGGCTCTTGTTGAAACTCAATCTAGTTGCCTCATCAAAACCCTCCGATCATATAATGGAACTGAGCATCTCTCAACTCAGTTGAAGGAATTTTTGCAGTAAACTGGTAACGTCATCAACCTACAAATCATTCGTACTCCTCAGCAAAATGGAGCAAATGAAAGAAAAAACCTCCGCACAATGGAGTAAGTGAGAAAAAATAGATTAGTCTTGAATATGGCAAGAAGCCTTCTGTTTGGAAAAAAATTGCCCAAGACACTTTGGGCTGAAGCGGTCAATACTGTGTACCTTAAAAACAGGTTGCCAATTAAAGTTATGAGCAACAAGACTCCATATGAAGCATGGTTTGGAAACAAACCAGCTGTAACTCACTTGATCTTTGGAAGCATATGCTACACGCTTATTCTAGAAGCAAGGAGAGGAAAACTTTATCAAAGAGCAGAAAAAGGGTTGCTTATTGGTTATAGCAATGAAGCTAAAGGCTATAAAGTCCTAAACCCTCTTACTCAACAAATTTATGTCAGCAGAAGCATCAAAGTTGATGAAAACAGTCAATGAGATTGGACTATAATGGAATCAACTTCTTCTCAACAAGAAGTCACACAAGAATTATTGCAACAACAACATGGAGTTCCTTCAGAAATTAATGATCAATTTGAAGATGAAGATAATTATGCAGTTAGAGGAACAAGGTCACCTGAGGATATTTACAACAGCTGAAGAAGCATTTTGCATTCCTGAGTGGAGAGTTACAATGGAGGAGGAGGTCAAAATGATAAATAAAAATGAGACTTGGAATCTAGTTCCTAGACCTGAAAATCAGCAGGTGTTAGGAATCAAATGGATCTTTAAACTGAAATTAAACTCATATGGTTCTATTAATAAACACAAGGCAAGACTTGTGGTAAAAGGGTGTGCTCAATACGAACGAATACATTGTATTGAAACTTATGCTCTAGTTGCAAGATTTGACACTGTAAGGCTGATTCTAGCACTTGCAGCAAGTATTTCAACTTGATGTTAAATCGGCTTTCTTGAATGTTCTTTAGAGGAGCAAGTCTTTATTAAGCAGCCTGAAGGTCTCGATGATGGAAGCAATTGTGTGTGTCTGTAAACAAAAGCCTCTCTATGACTTAAAACAGGCGCCAAAGGCTTGGTATGCAAGAATTGATAACTATTTGTTAGAGTTGTGTTTCATAAAAGAAGCTTGAATGAGGCAACTCTCTATGTCAAATTATATAAAAATGAAATTCTTATTGTTTCAGTCTAGGTAGATGATCTATTTGTTATTGGCAATAATTTGAAATTAATTGATGAATTCAGGATTAAGATGCAGCAAATTTTTAAGATGAATGATCTAGGAAAGGTGTCTTATTTCCTTGGTTTGGAGATCAAACAATATGATCAAGGTATCTTTGTGTCTCAACAAAAATATGCTGAAGAACTTTTAAAGAAGTTCAATCTCATCGGGTATCTTTGTTCATGGTGAAAAATTGAAAAAGAATGATTGCGTTAACTTGCATATGCTTCTCTTTACAGGAGTATGATTGGTTCTCTGCTTTACCTCTCAATAACTAGACCTGACATTATGTTTGCTATAAGTTTATTATCTAGATTTATGAATGAACCAACAGAAACTCATCTAGTAGCAGCCAAAAGAGTGTTTAGATATGAAGAGGCACTTCAAGTTTTGGTTTGCTGTACAAGAAATCCTCATCTAGTAGCAGCCAAGAGAGTGTTCAGATATGTAAGAGGCACTTCAAGTTTTGGTTTGATGCACAAGAAATCTTCATCAATTAAGCTGCTGGGATTCTCAGATAATGATTAGGCTCGCTCAACAGACGACATGAAAAACACAAATGGCTATTGCTTCTCGTTAGGTTCAAGTGTCATATGTTGGGGAACAAAGAAGCAATCTTCAACATATGCATAATACATTACTGCCTCTGCTACTATTAATCAAGCAATCTGGTTAAGAAAAATATTGGCTGACTTGAACTTTCAGCAAGAAAAAGCTACTAAAATTCTCTGTGACAATAAGTCAGCAGTAGCAATGGTGAAGAATCCTATTTTCCATGGCAAAACAAAAGCACATCAAGATAAAAAACCATGCCATAAGAGAAACTAATAAAGAAAGTGGAGATTAGACATTGCAATGGTGAAGATCAAGCTACTGATATCATCACAAAAGTATTGCAAAAACCAAGGTTTGAATTTTTGAGATCACTTCTTGGTGTTCACTCCATCACATGCCTCAAGGAGGAGTGTTGAGAACAGTTGCTATTATTACTGTTCACTGAATTGAAATTGATGCATGTGCTGTTATTTTGTTTTTTATATATTTTGTATCGTTTGCTATGATTACAATCTTCCATATCTTTGATTGGTTAAGAGTTGTTGTAAAGATATGGAGGAGCTTAAATTATGTAAAAGTTTGATGGAAAAACTTACTGAATGATGGAAGTTTGGTTAACAAACTTTAGTTAAAATGATCTATAAATATGGCACATGTTCTAGTAAACGGAGTGAACTCTTTTCTGCTCAATATTACTCAGTTTTTCTCTAGAAAATTATGCTCTTTTCTCTAACTCAAACCAATAAAATATATACTGTTTTGTAGTTTTTTTTAGTAATTTAGATATTTTCTACAGGGTTCGGCTTCCAATCTATTTTTTTCCTCCATTATCTGCCTAATGATGTTTAACTGATGCTACACTCTGTATAGCCATTTTTTTATAACTAGTCATGTAGGCCTGTGTTGTTCGGATATTCAATTTTTTTTATTTAGAAAAATATTCATAATAATATTTATTAGAAAAAAGATTGAAAATATTAATAATAATATTATTGTTTTAGTTCTTCATTTAAAATAAAATTAATAATATTATTAATTTTATTAATTATTATACAAAGAAAATCAAAGGTTTTACTGCTTAAAAGAATATTAATGATAATATTAATTTTATTAATTATTTAAAAAACTGAAAACACAATTAATATGAACTCTATTAATAAATTCCAACAATCATTAAAAAAATTAAAACGTTTTCTAATTAGTTATTTTTATTACCATAGGAGATCTTTTATCAGTTGTCTTTTAGTAATTTCCTATTCTATTTAGGAAGTTTACTTCTAGTATAATTACTTTACTATTGCTTGTATTCCTATATAAATTGGAGGCTTTACGTATTAATTAAAATAAGTAGATAATTTCGAACTAATTGAAATCTAAAGAGTCTAAGGTTAGAGCTCCATTACCAACAAGTTTACGTTCTTTTTCTTTTTCAACAACCATAGGTCGAAAAAAAAATCAATCTAAAACAAAAGCTTTAGCTTTTCAATTCGATTTTACTTTTAATAAACCTGTGACAAGATCTTGGATGCGTGAACATAACAACTTGGCATCAGAGCCAAGCATCATGGGAGATTCAACCAGCGGGATGAAAGCTCTTTTTCAAGAACTACAGGCATAAAATGAAGCTCGAATAACACAAACCCAGCTACAGAACCTAACTCGATAGGTGTAGGAACTCCTTAATGGATCAACCAAAGGTCGAAATAAGGGAATCGAGGAGACAAACAACAATTCGATGCCACAAAACAAAAATAATGATGTAGAGACAGTTCTATAATATGCCAAATTAGATTTCCCTAAATAATGATGGGTCGGATGACCCATAAAGTTGGTTGACAGGTGTGAGCAATTTTTTCTTAATCAAAAATGCAAAAGGTTGATAAGGTGGACTTGGTTGCGTTTCATATGGTTGGAGAAGCATAACTTTGGTACTATAAACTGGAGCAAGAAGAATTAGGGGTTTCATGGGAACTTTTTAAAAACTATTGCAATCTTCATTTTGCCACACCCCTGAAACGCAAGCTTTTGTGCGAATTAGTCAATTTAAGATAGACAAGTAATATTGAGGTATAACAAAGGCAGTTTCAAGGGGTTATTAGCAAGCGCTACAATAGTCCAGAATGACTAGCATGTCAATCTTTTTACCTGTCAGGTTATTGGAAACCATAAGGTTGGATGTTGAAATGCATAATGCATCCAATATGATTACTATAATGAATTGGGCGAGGGCTTTGGAAAGGAAATAGCAGTTGGAAAAAACAAACAACAGCAAAAAGGGACTTACTCAAGTTCATGGTCGAACCTAAGGTTGTTTACATGGGACAGCTCTGCACCTATAGCAAAGTCAACTCACAATTAGGTTAATATAGCTTCGACTTCTAGTGTTGGCAATGTTAGTTCACGCTGCATCTAGAAATTAAGCCGAGTTGAAATGGCAGATCAAAGGGCTAAAAGGTTTTGTGCTACAATTGCGATGAACCCTATTCTATGGGGCACCAATGTAAAAAGTTATTTTGGTTGGAATTAGGTGAGTTAGAAGCACAGGTAAAAGCACATGATGATCCTATACCAAATGAGCCTTGATACAACCCTAGCCAATTAACAAGTACTCTTGCAAATCAACAAGGAAGATCTAGCGGAAAGCATGCAATCACGGAAGTACCCGACAATCCCTTACTCTTGCAAATCAACAAGGAAGATCTAGCGAAAAGCATGCAATCACGGAAGTACCCGACAATCCCTATAACCCCCAAGTACTCTTGAAGAGAGAAAGCAAGGAATTTAGGACAAGAATCAGAAACTTACCTTCAAGTACTCTTGAAAACAACTCTGAAATTCTTGGTGCAATTAATCTTGTAGAACTCACAAGCTTAACTACTAAGGAACTAAAGGATATTTATGAAGAACACAATCTGTTCTTGAAAGAACAAGAAGAAAACGTTTTGTTTTGATTTCAATTCAATGGTTGGCTAAAAAAATCCCGTTTGTTGTCTTGGGCTAACCGGTAAACCACTATCCTCATCGTCAGATAGCGAAAGATGACTAAACTCCCGCTCAATGAAGCCAATAGAATGGAAACACACAAA